CATTTACATAAATCCTGATTTTTTTTATATTACTCTTTACTTCTTAACATCATATTTTTTTGGGGGGGTTAGTTATACATTTACAAAAGATCTCGTTTTATTTCTAGGCTACTTAGTTTTTAACATTCTGTTTCTTTCTAGGTTATTCATTCTGTTACTTATCAACGTCCTGTTGTTCTACAAACTGTGGTCTCTAGAAGATGAAATGATTCGAGTGGCACCAGCTAATCCCCAGATATTTGACGTACCTCGAGGAAGGTATACCAAAAAACACGTTGTATGAAATTCTGAAGACTTGATAGTTTGAGTAGTTTCACATTTCTTCTTGTGATCTTCAATCGTTATATTGACAAGCGTCAAATGAATTAGTATTTGGATCATTGAAAAAGTACATACAACTGTTGTATACAAGTAATCCAGAACGTCTCAACTAATAAGTATTAATGTTTGGTAATGTTCATAGAAACTATGGCAGACAATTGAAATAACTCCTAATTCTTGGTTGGTTAATATAAACTCTGTCCTTAAAACCTAGAAATAGACTGCTATAACACAGTACCCAGTTTTATAACATGCATATATTTATTTTAAACATTGGTTAGTGTAGTCCACCAGCCCAGTTTTATAACATCATATATTTATTTTAAACACTGGTTAGTGTAGTCCACCAGCCCAGTTTTATAACATTCATATATTTATTTTAAATATTAGTCAGTGTAGTCCACCAGCCCAGTTTTATAACATTCATATATTTATTTTAAACACTGGTTAGTGTAGTCCACAAGCCCAGTTTTATAACATCATATATATTTATTTTAAACACTAGTTAGTGTAGTCCACCAGTCCAGTTTTATAACTTTCACTCTATGTTCACAGGTTAGAAGAATTTTCTGTTGATGACTGGCTTCAATTAGTGAAAAGACAAGAAAAACTGCATCAAGTCGAGAGTGAACGTTGGAAAGATGTACTTGGAGACGTCTTAAAGGTTATCAAAATTGTAAGTATCCAGCTCTGTTGCTAAAAGTACCAAATGATTGATCAAGAAATATGAGCTTTTTGTCCTTAGGCTTAATGCACCGTAAATAATTGTATTTGCTTTAATCAGTTTAGAAATTTCAAAGCAGAGGTGTAGTAAGATAACATTTACTGAGGAACCATGTTTTCATTATTACACCTGAAACTAGTAGTTAGTAATAATTACTGTCTGCACTGTTGTAGGTGGAGGTATCTTTGATGGATCTGAAGAGCAACACGGATTTGTACAAATCTCTCCTCCTATTTAATTTAGACAGTGTCACTCAGGTGAAAGGTTCAACAGAAAGTTTGAATGTAGAATTATCGAACAAATCTAAAGACACGTTAACACCACGTGGTTCAGATGATAAGAAATTCACATATCGTAGCTCATCCGACGAACCTTCAGTATTACCGAGTTTAAACATGGACACTCCAAAGTCCTGTATTTTACATAAAACCAAAGCATCATTTCCTTACCAATTTTACAAAGAGCATGAAATAACCTGTGCCAAACCAACTTAGTATAATAATACTGAACTTTTGAGTAACTAAGCATCATT